TTTCGGGGAGCAGCGGGAGCCCCCGAGGAGCCTCGTCAGGTTTAAATGACAAAAGAGGCGACAAACCCGCCCCGTTTTGCTGCTGAAATCCCGTTTTTGTCCCGGGCAGAGGGGAGGGAGGACGGGGGAGGGTCGGGAAACCCCCGGATCCGGGATTCTCCGGTTGGATTTTAGCGAGGGGCGATGCCCCAGACGCCACAACAGCACCGGGCACGGCCAAAATCCCCCCGTCAACCTCCCAAATTACCTTCCCGGGCCCTCGGATCTCCACCGGCACCGGAGCCTCGGCGGGCAGAGCCCCTCTCCCGGGATCAGCTTCCCTCCCGGCTCCGTAGAGGTCCAGGACGCTCGGGAAGGAGCCCCCAAACTCTGGGCTGGGTGTCCCGAATCCCCGCGGGCCGCAGGGAGCTCTTCCCTCTTCCCCGGGCTCGGGAATGATCCAGGTTTTCCTCCAGGCTCGCGCGTCCCCCTCGCTGCTTCCAAGCGCTCCCGCCGCTCCTGCCGCGATTCCAAGGCCATTCCCGATGATCCCGGGGATCTGTGGCCGTGCCAGGGGGTGGGCAGAGCCCTCCCGGGGGGATCGGGAGGGTTCGGGAGCCTCGGGATGTTCCCGGGGGTCCCCCGGCGGTGCCGCGTCCTCCGTGCACTGGATGGGCAGCGAGGCGGGGAGGTCTGGGAAGGGAGGGAGGAAAAGGAGGGAAAAGGAAGGAAAAGGAAGGAAGGAAGGGGGAGAGGAAGGGGGGGAGGAAGAAAAAGGAAAGAAAAGGAAGGAAGGAAAAAGAAAGAAAAGGGAGGAAGGAAAAGGAAAGAAAAGGGAGGAAGGAAGGAGAAGGAAGGAAGGAAAAGGAAAGAAAAGGAAGGAAAAGGGAAGAAGGAAGGAAGGAAGGAAGGGAGGGAGGAAGGGAGGAAAAGGAAGGGAGGAAGGGAGAAAGAAAAGAAGGAAGAAAGGGAAAAGAAAGAAAAGGAAAGAGAAGGAAGGAAAAGGAAGGTAGGGAGGAAGGAAGGAAAAGGAATGAAGGAAAAAGAAGAAAGGAAGGAAGGGAAAGGAAGGAAGGAAGGAAAAGGAAGGAAGGAAGAGAGGAAGGAAGGGAGGAAGGGAGGAAGGAAGGAAGGAAGGAAGGAAAAAACCACATTTCAGGTCGGGAAAACCGCGCCAGACCCCGCGGGAGCGACGGGATCGTTCGGGGAGGGGAAACCGCGGCCCTGGGAGGGAGAATTCCTGGAAAACCGGGAAGTTCTGGGCGGTTTCCAGGCCCACCAACCCCCCCGAGCCCTCCGGGTTCGCCACCTTTCCAGGAGGAAAATCCCCC